AACTCAGATTGCTGAGAAATTACTGAAAAGCAGTTGCAGAAAGTTGGCTCACTTGAAATTCCTTTCTTTCTAGGATCTTCACCACACAAGTTCTGGTTGTCTTGACCATTCTCTGATGTCATCACAAATGTTCTTTTAAAAAAATATTTTATTTGTCTTTTCTAGGTGTTTTTGTGTGGTAGGCTATGTGCTGCTCCACGAGAGCCAGAAGCAGAAATCAACTGCTTGCATTTTAGACTCTTTAGAATCCATTCCACACATGGCAGCAGGAACATTTTAATAAAATTTTCATCAGAGCATGATGCTTCCCTATTCCAATGGCTTCTTACCACATTTAGAATGAAATCCCAATCACTTTTCATTACTTACAAGATGCTGGTCCCTGGCCCTCTCTCCAACTTCTTCTTACGCCCCACTCCGTCCCTTACACACTTGCTATCCTCCAGCCACAATGACCTTCCTGCCGCCCTTTAAACACGCCAAGCTTGTTACACTCAGGCCTTCACACAAGCTGCTTCCTCTGTCTGAAATGCACATCTAATCAGGTGTTCGTGTGTCTGGCTTCTCAGTTCACGTGACAGCAACTCAGAAAGACCTTCCTGGACCACCTCCATCTAAGGTAGCTCCTCTCAATCACGCACATCATATTATGATGTGATATTTCCTTCATGTTACTTATCTTCCACTAAAACTATCTTGTTCACTTATTTTTTGTTTTCTCACATTAGAATATAAGTTCCACAGGGCTAGGCTTCTCTCTCCAATCTTTTCATCTTGTGACCAGTGTGGAGCAGGCCAATAGCACATGTGTGGGGATTAATCCACCCAGCTTTGAAGGCACAAACAGGGAGAATGGGGTGTAGACTAACACACACCAGGGCCTTAGGCTCGATTTTAATATTTGCTCAATCCACTTGATATTTCTGAGAATGCGCTTTTAGGAGTTCCTTGTTTCATTTAGAGGTATAAATATACTCTCTACATAAGCCCTCTGAATAGATAACCAAGATTCTAGTCGCTGCTGTTTCTGTTTAACTTCTCACGTAGCTGCAATCTTATAAGTGCTCATTATATCCAGCCTGGAAAGTAAACAGACCTGAAAATCAAGGAGAGTGTTCCCCGGGTGAAAACAGTTTCTAATTACAGTAATAATAAAAAAGAGGAAATAGATCAATCAACATGGAAGTCTTCTTTTTAATTTTTTTGCAGTTCGCATTATGTTTAATTTGTATTTCTCTCAATTTTCCCTTCTCATTTAAAAATTCTGATGGCAACTTTACTTTTTCTAAGATTTAGAATGTTTAATTGGCAAAAAAATATATTCCGAGTTTGAACTTGCATAAATTTGAAAAAAATCACATAAGACTTTAACGCAACATTAATCATCGAAATATGTTTAGCATTTAAATTACACATTAAATGATATTCTTGCTCTTAAGTGCAAGCAACCTCAGTTATTTCTCACTGAGTATCCTTTGTATGTTAATCAGTAAATACAGAAAGTCGAACAGTTTGGTTCTCATTTACCTTCTTGCATAGAAATTCACAGACTCACGTGAATCCTGTAGGAGCAGGGAATCTTCATCTCACTCACCAAGGTACAAGTGAGACCGGAAGCCATCAACATTAGCTTTTATTTGTAAGGAATAAGGGAACCACGCCGGACATGTGTGACTGAAGCAAGCCCAGCCCAGTCGCCATCACTTGTCTGTGCACACCACAAGCGCCAACCACATGACATTTCTAAATGGTTCTCTGAATGTTTGTGGGCTGCCTTGGTACCTTTGCACATGCTGTTCCTTCCACTTGGAATGCCCTCCCCCTCCCCCAAAATGTCATCACTTGTCAAGACCCAAGTCCAGTGGCACACCGTCTGTGAAGTCTGCCCTCAGTGTTCTGTGGCATTCCGTCCATACCTTGACAGAACATTTATTTCATTGTTTTGTCTTCTTCCACCAGCCTGAGAGGACTCATCTATCAATCACTTTTGTGTCCTTCCAGCAGCTTCTTTTTCTACCACCTACACACAAAACTGATCAGTGTCAGACTCTAAAGGCGGAAGAGCTGGTTTAAATTCTGGTTCTGGCATTTACCAGCTGTATAACCTTGGGAAAATTAGTTAACTCTCTGTGCCTTGGTTTCCTCATCTTTAAATGGGAATAATAATAGTATATATCCCATAGGCTTGTTGTGAGTATTAAATGAGATAATTACAGAAAACATTTAGAACACTGCTTGCCACAGTAAGCCCTACACAGCCTATATTATTAGTAGGTTCCAAGAACCAGAAGTACCAAGATGAATTGAATGTGATTCCTTTCCTTGAGGAGCTCAAGTGTCATGGGAAGACAGATGTGCAAACAAAAGACGCTATGGTCGAGGTCTGGACAAGGGAGCAGAGAGGAGGGAGCACCTTCCTCCTGAGGCCTGGGGTGGCGGCGTCAGGAGTGTCCCCCACGGGAGGTGGTGTTTTAGCTGAGACTCACGGATGAGCAGGAGTTGCTAGTTGGAGTAGCTGGGGATGCACATTTTAGGCAGATGTAAGCAAAGACACAATTTACACAGCCTTGTGAAAGCACGAGGGGCACTGGGGGACAGCAGCTACCGAGAGAGGCCTTAGCACAATGTCTGAGCTGGAAGGTTCTGGGCAGTGAAGCTGAAGCACACTGCAGATGCTATAAACTGGTTTATTCAATACTCCTGTTCAACTGCCTTCTCCCCGGCCTCCCTGGCACAGTCAGGGAAGCGGAACTCTAGGTTTTCCCATCCAGGTGAGGTCCTGTGACAGGTAATAGGGCTTTTGCTGGGAAGGGCTTCTCTTACAGAATAAAAATGCTAAACCTTATAAGGAGAAGGCTTCTTTAGCATTTTCGCTTTCTCCTTCCTTCCTGGAACTTGGCTTTGAGGCTTTCAAACAGGAGGGCAAGGGCCATCTGCTAAGGATGGTGCAGCGGGAAGACCCAAAGAGCTGGGCCCCTGGCCAGAGCTGTACTCAGTAGCCGCACTGCCTGGACCACCTCCCTCTGGACTTCCTGCTTGTGAGAAATGCCACAGCTGGCCAGGCTTCCTGCGGCTTAGAGCCAAAGGCATCCCTAACTGACACAAGTGGTAGGCGAGGCCCGGTCAGAGGAGGCCTGGGATGCTCTGCATACGAGCTCTGACGCCCACATTTGGGCACTGGGGACTGCTGCCTAATTTAGGAGCTGAAAGGGCAGCTTTGTGGTCACACAAACCTTGGTTTAAATCACAGTTTAGTCAGTTCCTTGCTGTTTAGCTTGAGAAACCAGTTACCATCACTCTGAGCCTCATCGGGGAGACGTGTGGAGAAACTCTTTTTAGAATGCTAACCTTACCCACAGCACGCTGGATGGAGTGGAAGAGATCAAGAGCACAGGGAGAGTTTGCCAGGACCCTTCCAGAGCAAAATAAATCCTAAGTGAGGATTCAGAAATCATTTCAGAACTTAAAGTGGATTCTAGTTGACATTTTTAGCCAAGAAACATTCTGATGGTGCTGGATTTTACGAAGGTTCTTTGAGACTTATAATACCTTTATGACGAAATGTCTTAGAACAAGTTGCTCTAAAGATCTTCAGAAGAGAGAAGGCTTTTCTCCCCATGTGCCATAAATTCCCGTGGCATCTTGTATTACCCCTGGGAATGCAGTGAGGAGTCCAGAAATAACTGGCGAGACTACCCAGGGCTGAAGGAACAAATAATTGAAGAGTCATTATTCCACCCTCGCGGGACTACCAGTGCTTTAGAATCTGTGGACAACCAAGCCGAAGGACGTTTAAGTACGACTCCATTTCCCTTCTGCCCACTTAAAGCTATAACAGTGCTCTTCCGTAAAGCCTGGGTCAGGGTTAATGAAGCCTAGGAAGTAGGTGGTATCATTTAAGAGACAACGAAAAAGATTTGCCGCCAAACATCTAATTAGACTTTCTTGTCAAGAATGCTTGAATATTCTATGTCAGAGATGATCGAATCTGAAGAATAAAGGAAGGTACCCTGTTGAAAGCAAATGCCTTGGGTCGGAGCAGTACACTTCCATCAGTAACAGCCAGATGAAGACAATCTGAGGCACAGATGGAGGATAACTGGTTCTTCAAATTGACACAAGTAGGAACTGGCCAAGCTGGGATTTGAACCAAGGTTTGTGTGACCCTTACATTATATTGTGGCCACTCTCTTGCCCTAAGCTGCTCCCAAACCCACAGTCTGCAGGTCATCCCCTCAAGCTACAGCATGTGAGCTAGGCAGCCGAATGGGTTGCGACAACTTTCTCCTAGTTCTCTAGGAGAGGACCTGGTCACATGAGGCTGAGCCTGTCACGTGGCTTTGTTGAGGAACCTCTTAGCTCCTGGCTGGCAGAGGAGACACATTCGGCAGAGGAGAAGGGTCTCCATTTGACAAAACAAACTATTTGATACTCCAGCAAATTGCTGAGCACGGCGCAAACCAGGAAGATGGGATGAACCATGAGCCTTCATGTCTACTTAAATCAAAGAAAATGGCACCCCCAAGGATAGTCTAGGGCTTCTTGATTTGCCCGTCCCAGGAATCTGACAGTTTTAGAATCTCTGAAACTGGTCCAGAGTGACACATTTAAAATTTGGCACCCTTGCTTAAGGACCACATGCATGGCAAGAGCGTGAGAATCCTCAGATCAAAACATTTCTCTTCCTTCTCCCACACAAAGGCAGAGAGAAAGCTGTCCTGCTTTCAAGTGCAGCTTCTGAATCAGAGGAAGAGGCCGTCCCATGGCTACTGAGTGCAGAGGCAATGAATAGTTTCCTGGGATGGCCTTGAGGGACTTGATCAAGACCCCTGAGAGTTGTAACCCAGAGAGAACATGGCTCCCTTCTAAGACCAGGAGAGCCATGAACTTAGCAGCAGAGTTTGAGGCTCCAAGGAAGGAGGGAGTAGCACAGGGGCAGCTTCATACCTAGTTGTTTCACTCTGTCACGTGGGCTTCTTTCCAGGGCCCACGGCACTCACCTCGGCCTGCCAGACGGGGTTCACGGTGTTGCCTATGATCTTGGATCTCCTCTCCTGTCCGTGGTGAGGGAGGGCAGGGAAGATGCTGTGCTTTCCGGGCTGGATGGAGATCTTCAGGTAAGGGTCAGGGTTGAAAAACATCCCTTTCTTCAACCCCATGGCCTGGAAATCTATAAAATAAAGGATATTTTAATTTAAATGTGTTTTAGTGAGGTTAAAGATCGTATCAGGCCTTACACAAAGGGGAAAAGTCAATATAAAATAAGAACAAGTCTAAAAAAAAATGAAAAATCTTTCAATCTTTAGACCATTTTCTACCTCATTACAAATATGGATTGATATGTCTATAGAACCAGCTATACGGAACATCTACTGGCATATATTAAATTGTTTTGGTGAGAAAACCTTGTTATAAATCAATATGACTGGCACTGTAGTCACTATGCTTTTCAAGAGAGGACCACTGGCCCTTACTGGACTGGACTTCTGATGTCCCTCAGGCAGACTGGGGTAAGGGGCTGAGGGTCACCCAGGAAACTTGGGTGGACACTGAGGGAGGAAATCCAACTTTGAAAGTTCAACAAGTCTAGGTGAAAATTCCCTTGCAAAGTGGAGACATAGAAAAACAAGGGCTGTTGTCTCACAATAAATATAGTCTTAACTGAATAAGGCGAGACAGAATTAGGAGAAATAAAGAGAGAGAAGAGGGTTAAAAGAGCAAAGAAAAAAAGATAATAGAGGAATGAAAAAGAAAACATGGCCCCCATGGAGCTAAGTGCCTATCAGTGAGGAGAATTTTGAGAAACCATAATGTTAGGGAGGGCAAAGTGTGGAAAACTGAGCTGTTGCATTGAATCGAAATTGTCTGGTTGTGTAAATTTCATGCAGTTGGGGGCGGGGGAGACAGAGAGACAGAGAGCAAGACCATTTGTGATAATGGATTATAATTATTCTGGGGTAATTTGAAATCCTTTTATATTTATTGGAAATATATTTATGATATCAAAAAACATAATTAAAAATTTATATTATTGAAGTATTCCCTCCCCAAATTATTCCCTTTTACATATAAGTGAAAGTAACCCAGGTAAAGATACACTGAATTGATTTCCCAACCACGGTGTAAGTTGTGAGGTGTGAGTAATTAGTTACTGATGAAAAAGTACAGAAGTTTTCATGTGAATTTACTTAAAAGTTCCTTTGAGTTGATTGCGGTTATCTCCATAATAAAATTATTCTTACTCTCTTGCATTATAATACACCCATAGGGGACAAAGGATAGAAAGTACAACAAGCATCACAGAAATTTGCAAAACCTGGGATAAACCCATGAGGAGAACAGAGGTAAGACAGCTGCCTGAGACGTCTCTCCTTAGAAAGTCCTGTTTATAAGGTTGGCTCTTGGCTAGTGTCTGGGAACTTGGATCTGGAACTGAGAAGGGTGGCTCGCTGTTCCTAAATGGTTTGTACAAACTATGTGGTTTATACTGAACACCTGCTTTCCTTCTGGGAGTCCAGAATCTTGGTACATGCCAGGCAGAAGGTGCCTATGTGTCATGAGCCCTCACTGAAAACCAGGGCCACTGAGTCTGTAACGAGCCTCTCTGGTACACAATATTTCATATGTATTGTTGCAACTTGCTGGGGGAAATAAGCACATTCTGTGTGATCTCACTGGGAGAGGACTCGAGGAAGCCTGCCCCTGGTTTCCTGTAGACTTCACTCTTAGCACCTCTTCTCTTATTTTGCTTTGCATCCTTTCAATGTAATCCCTCTCACGGCCATGAGTAAGGCCATGTGCTGAGCTCTCCTAGAGAATCATCAAATCTAGGATGGTGTTGGGGACCTTAACCCAGAGTGTGACAGACGTATAGATTTACTCATCATAAAATAATATGACTACCATCACCTCCACCACTACCACCTACCATTTATTGGCTGGTCACTAAATTCTGGGAACCAGTCTATGTCCTTCAAATACATTATCGGATTTAATCCTACCCATAAACTCTACAAGGTAGATATCATATCCCTGATTCGAGGAAGAGAAAATGGAAGCTTACGAATTGAGTAACTTGATGAGGTTTTCAGAGCTGGTCAATGTCAGAAGCGAAATTTAGACCTTTCTCTTTGATTCCAAAGTCTATGCTTTTAACTAAAATGTCATATTACCTGTTTATAAAAATGCCAACTTTGGCACAGGTTAAATTCTCAAGTATAAATGGGTCTTTTTTCTATACTCTGTTCCATCAAATGACTCATCTATACCTGTATCAATATGTCTTTATCATGTTTGATACCTGATAAATTTAGTCACTCTTCATTGTTCTTTTTTCCAAAAAAACCCCACTTTGCTCTATCACTCATACACTTATTCTTCTAGATTAATTTTATTAATTTCTTAATAACCCTCCTCCAAAAAGTTGGGATTTGATTGGAATTGCATTGAATTTATAGATTAATTTTGGAAGAATTTGTATCTCTATAATACTCCTCATTCAAGAGCATATGTTTCTTCATTTTTTTTTTAAGGTCTTCTTTCACTTCCCGCAGTAAACTTTTATACTTTATAAAGATTTACACATTTAAGTTCAATTTGGATCTTATTAAAATATATGTTTCATGAAGTAAAAATGTTTGAAAACTGCTGCAATAAGGAGGGTAATTAAAAGTGCACTGGCCTGGGAGTCAGTATACTTAGATTTTAGTTCTGGAACATACTATTGAACTTTGTTGAGGAAACTGATTTAACTCTTTCAGGTCTCAATTTCTTCATCTAGAAAATTGCTGGAATGGATATCTATAAGGACAGATTTATAATTTTCCAAAAGTACATGACACACTAATGGGAGAATTTTACGACTATTCCAAATTGTACCATCTAGTGTCAACCATTACCAGACTTTTTCCTCATTTCCTTCCAGTATTTTTCTTTGCATAGTTGAGACCATACTGTATATACAATATGGTATCCTAAACTTTTTCTTTTGCCTAGATTCTATCATAAAGATGTTTCACGCCTTTTAGAACATTTGTATACATAATTATTACGATTATCTACTATTTCATTACTTGGCTGTATGGTAATTTATTTAATCAGTCCCTAATTTTAAATGTTTAAATTGTTTCCAATACACTTGTGAATAACTCTTTATCTGCATTTCTGATATTTTTAGGTTAGAGTGCTAAAAGAGGAATTCATTAAAAATTAAGGGGATATTATTTATCTAGGAAATTTATTACCCCCAAAAGTGGGAAAAACAGAATATATAATTAGATTTGAGAAGGAAAGCATTTGCATCAACAATTTTGCTTTGATGTGTCTACTGTACTTTTGAAGCTTTCCAGAGAAGGCAATTCCATGATCTACCTTTCTGATCATTTCTCATTCTAAATTCTAAAATCGGTTGTTTCACATTGCAGTGTCTCCAGTTCTTGAGTTTTCTTGAATTTATCTCTTTATATGCTGGAGTACATGTTTATATATGATTTGCAGGTAAGATGCAAGGGTGATGTTCTTTGAGCCCTCGCAAACGTGAGAATGTGTTTTTCTTGCCTTCTCATATAAATGACAACCTGGTGGGCATAGAAATCTTGGGTTAAAATATTCTACTCTCAAAACTCTGTAGACTTTGCTTCATTATTTTGGCATTCTGTACCACAGGAGACAAGTCTGAGATTAACATGAGGTTTACTCTTTCGTAAAACGTGTATTCTCATGCTTTTTCTGCCCAGAGAGCTACTGTGTCTGTACTTGAACATTTTTTTCTTTCAAAAGTTGGCATTTGTCTAGGTGTTGGTCTCTGCACATACATTTTTTTTCTTCTTTTTCTTAGTACCTGATAGTCTAATTTGAAGATTCAAAATTATATTCGGCTCAAGAAAATTTTCTCCTTTTACTATTTCCTTTCAATTTGCTTTGATCTCTTCATCAAAAGCACCAATTACCTATATGTCGGCTCGGTATGTGTCATCCATCTTTTTATTTCCTCATCCTTTTTATGTCTTGCCCTTCATCTAAGCATTGTGGGAGAGACTTTCAAGTCAGTCTCCCATATATATCACTGATTCCATGCTGTAGGGGTGGTTGTGCTCTCTACTGCTTTCAAAGGCTCATTTTTAATGCTATGATTGCACCTTTTAGAATTTATTTTCAGTCTCTGCTTGACTATGATAGACAGAAAAATGACCCCTCAAAGATGACCATGACCTGGTCCCTGGAACCTATGAATATGTCACCCTACATGGTAAAACGGACTTTGCAGATGTGATTAAGGATCTTGATTGAGATGGGGAGATTATTCTGGATTATCCAGGTGGGCCCAGTGTCATCCTAAGAGTCCTTATAAAAGGGAGGCGGCTGGGGAGCAAAGTGAGGAGAAAGTGATGAGCCATTGAAGCAGAGATCGGAGTGATGCAGCCATGAGCCAAAAAATGCAGGCAGCATCTAGACCCTGAAAGAGACAAGGAATGGATTCTTCTCTGGAGACCCCAGGAAGGAACCAGGCCTGCTGACACCTTGATTTTAATCCCTTAAGATGCATTTTGGCCTTCTGACCTCTGGAAAAGTTAGAATACATTTGTGCTGTTTTAAGCCACTATGTGTGTGGTAATTTGTTCAGGAATTAACTGGAATAGGAAAGAAATACAATAGGAAACCAATACGCTTGGCTTTCTAAGTTTTTATTTTTGCCAGATTCAAAGAACTCCCTTTTATCATCTTTCTTCATCTTAGATCTCGTACTTCATAGGTCCCGCACTTCCCTGTATTTCATTGAGACTCTGAGCGGACGAGTGATAACACTTCACTTCTCTTCAGTAGATACCTGTCAACACAATACTTTCTTCTTCTCTTGAGTGTTACATTCTTCAACTTTTTTATAGGTAGAATCTTTTCTCCATACATTCTTTAACTCGAAATTTCTGTTATTTATCCATGAATATGTTGTGTAGTTCTGATATCGGTCCATCTTTTGTCAGGTTGGTTGTCCAGGTGGTTTCCGTGGGACTCCTCATCTCTGCTTTTACACTCAGACATGACCAGCATCTGATCAATTTTCTGATACTTTATGGGCTTTGCCTAGACATAGATTTGCTGATCTTTTTATCTTGTCTTTCTTTGAGGCACGAAATTTACCATGATACTTTAAGCAATATTTACCCTTTTTTTCTAAATAGACATTGTGAATTAAACACACACACATATTCAACTATTCCACTACTCAGTAGTATACTTCCACGACCACTCCAGGCTTGCTTCTTTAGCTGCTAATTTTACATCTCCAGTCACATTTCATTGCTGGCAATTTTTGCCTTGAAATAAGTGTAATAAAAATGATATATTGAGGGGCTATAGGAGATGAAGCAATCCTGATCACCTTATCAGGTAGCCTTTTGAACCAATTTGGGAGCAGTTCCTTTCCTCTGGTGGGTCTGTGAGCCCATGTCTTCATGGCAGAGCCAAAATGGGAACCAACTGGCAGAGATTTCCTCTTCTTCCCCAACGCCATGCTGCCCATCCTGTGTGGCATCCCTCTTAGGCTTTGGGATTTCACTGAGATTTGGTTTGTGAAAATTCCTCTTCGTTTCTGGCAGGTAGTTTTCCTGGTTTCTACTGTTCCTGAAGGTTTGTACAAATAATTGTGACTTCTCAAGCATTTCAATACAAACATAAGAATAGCAAATCAGGAATAGTGAATTAGGAATTGTTAAGCTTTCTGATTTAGTAATACAAAAGTATTGAGTTTCCTTTTTCTTCCTTTTTTCTTAACCTAGACAGACACATGCTAATATTGTTAATGGATCTTTTTTTTTTCCAAGTAAAAAGACTTTTCTTTTTAGAGCAGTTGTAGAGTCACAGCAAAATTAAGAGGAAGTACAGAGACTTCCCATTTATTTACTGCCTGCCCCACACACGCATAGCCTCCCCTATTATCAACATCCCCTACCGGAATGGTACTGTTGTTACAACTGATGAGCCTACACTGACACATTATAATCACAGATGAGTGATAAATGTTTTATTTCTTCCCAAAGTCCATAGTTTACACCAGAGTTCACTCTTGGTGTTGTACATTCTACGTTTTTTTTTTTTTAAAGATTGGCCCTGAGCTAACATCTGTTGCCAATCTTTTTTTTTCCTTCTTCTCCCCAAAGCCCCCCAGCACACAGTTGTATATCCCAGTTGTAGGTCTTTCTAGTTCTGCTACGTGGGACACCATCTCAGCGTGGCTGGATGAGCAGTGCCATGTCCCCACCCAGGATCTGAACCAGCAAAACTCTGAGCCGCCAAAGTGGAGCATGCAGACTCAACCACTCGGCCACAGGGGTGGCCCACATTCTATGGGTTTTGACAAACGTGTAATGACATGTCCATCATTACAATATTGTACAGAGTACTTTCACTGCCCTAAAAACCCTCTGTCTTCCATCTATTCATCATTCCTTCCCCCAATTCCTAGCAACCACTGATCTTTTTACTGTTTCCATAGTTTTATCTTTTACAGAATGTGATAGAGTGAGAATCATACATCATACAATATATTGCCTTTTCAGACTGTAATAGGCATTCAAAATTCCTCCATGTATTTCCATGGCTTGATAGCTCAATTCTTTTCAGCACTGAATAATATTCCATTATCTGGAAGCACCACAGTTAATCCATTCACCTACTGAAGAACATCTTGGTTGCTTCCAAGTTTTGGCAATTATGAATAAAGGTCTGCGTGTAGGTTTTTGTATGGACTTTTCAACCCATTTGGGTAAATTCCAAGGAGTGCAATCACCAGATCATATGATAAGAGTATGTTTAGCTTTGTAAGAAACTACCAAAATGTCTTCCAGAGTGTCTGTACCATTCTGCATTCCCACCAGCAATGAATGAGAGTTCCTGTGGCTCTGTAACCTTGCCAGCATTTGGTGTTTTCGGTGTTCTGGATTTTGGCCATTCTCATAGGTGTGTAGTGGTATCTCGCTGTTGTTTTAATTTGCATTTCCCTGATGACATGTGATGTGGAACATTTTTTCGTCTGATTATTTGCTATCTGTATATCTTCTTTGATGAGGTATCTGCTAAGGTCTTTGACCTATTTTTCAATTGGGTTGTTTGTTTTCATCTTGTTGAATTTTAAGAGTTCTTTGTATATTTTGGGTAACTGTCCTTTATCAGATGTGTCTTTTGCAAATATTTTCTCCCAGTTTGTGTCTTGTCTTTTCATCCTCTTGACATTGTCCTTCAAAAAGCAGAAGTTTTTAATTTTAATTAAGTCCATCTTATCAATTATTTCTTTCATTTATTGTGTCTTTGGTGTTGTATCTAAAAAGGCATCACCATACCCAAGGACATCTAGGTTTTCTCCTATGTTATCTTCTAGAAGTTTTATAGCTTTGTATGTTTTTTTGCAAGGAAGATTTGCCCTGAGCTAACATCTGCCACCAATCTTCCTTTTTTTTTCCTTGAGGAAGATTGTCCCTGAGCTAACATCTGTGCCAATCTTCCTCTATTTTGTATGTGAGTTGCTGCCCCAGCATGGCTGACGAATCACATAGTTCTCTGCCTGGGATGTGAACCTGTGAACCTGGGCCACTGAAGTGAAGTGCACCAAATTCAACCACTATGCCAAAGGGCCAGCCCTCTAGTTTTGCAATTTATATTTAGGTCTATGATCCATTTTGAGTTAATTTTCTTGAAGGGTATAAGGTCTATCTAGATTGTTTTTTTCACATGTGAATGTCTAGTTATTCCAGCACTGTTTGTTGAAAAGATTTTTTTTGCTCCATTGTATTGCCTTTGCTCCTTTCTCAAAAATCAGTTGAACTATACGGGGGTCTACTTCTGGGCTACTATGTTCCATTGATCTATTTTTCTGTTCTTTCACCAATACTACTCCATCTTGACTACCATAGCTCTATAGTAAGTCTTGAATTCGGATAGTATCAGTTGTCCAACTTTGATCTCCTTCAATAGTGTATTGGGTATTCTGAGGCTTTTGCCTCTCCATATAAATTTTAGAATCATTTGGTCACTATCCACAAAATTATTGCTGAGGTCTTGATTGGGATTGCATGATTCTATAGACCAAGTTAGGAAGAACAAACTTTTTGACAAAATTGAGTCTTCATATCCATGAACATGGAATCTCTCTCCATTTATTTAGTTCTTCTTTGATTTCATTCACCATAGTTTTATAGTTCTCCTTATATAGATCTTGTATATATTTTGTTAGATTTATACCTAAGTATATCATTTTAGGGGTGCTAATGTAAATGGCATTGTGTTTCTAATTTCAAATTCTACTTGTTCATTGCTGGTATGTAGGAAAGCAAGTGACTTTTTGTATATCAACCTTGTATCCTGCAACCTTGCTGTAATTGCTATCAATGGATCTTTAGACCCACATTTGCTTTACTGGGGCTCACTTAGACATGAAGAGCCCCAGGTGACTGTCCATCTCCCAAGGACGCTTACACACTTCGCTTCTGTGACTTGGCTCTCTGACATTTATGGCCTGTAACATTGGTTGGTTTAACAATAAGCTAAGGCAATAGTTTTCAAACCATGCTCATGAAGACCTGGAGTTTCATGCCATTGTGTCTCCTCAAAGACCACTAAGGGTGGAATTGAGTGTGTAGGGCTTTGAGCTTTGTATATCGCTTTACCCAAAACAACTCAGTTTTTCGTTATACTTTTGATTTTAAAATTATTTTAGATTTACAGAAGAGTTGCAAAGATAGTACAACACCCCTTAGCCAGTTTCCCTGCTGTTAACATATTACAGAACTATGGTACATTATGAAAACTAAAAATTTAACTAAATTACTCTATTAACCAAACCCTATTAACTAAATTACAGACTTTATTTGGATTTCACTGGTTTTTCCATGAACGTATCTTTTTGAGCAGCTCAGTTTTTATCTATTTTACCAACTGAGCTTCATGTGAGATTCTATTTAGATAAAGGACCCATAGCTGTTCTTATTCCTAGGCTTTCCCCTACCTCCACTTTATAAACTCTTAATTACTGCTGCTTGGCACCGGAGGGAAGGTAGAGTAGCAGCTTCTCTGCTCATCACCTCAAAGTGCTTTTGCATCTATTACTTACTGAATCCTCCAATATCCTCATGAGGTCGAGGGGAATGCAGCGAATATTTTTAATTTTTGTTTTACAGATGGAGAAGTTGAGGCACAGAAAGGATGAGTAACTTGTGGGTAAGAGTCAATTCAAAGCACGTCTCCTGACGGTTGGTTGACATTCTTATTCTTTCCACAAGGCCTTCAGGTGAGCAAAACATACCTGAGAGAGAAAAGCTGATCAGCCTCCGACTTCCTTGCCCTTGGACGGTCTCATCAGAGCCAATGCTTTTAAAAATCTGTAAGAAGGAGGAAAATGGGAGACAAGCAAACAAGCATTGAGATAGATCCTCACACTCCACACAAACATGCTTAATCACAGTATTTCTCCAGCTATGCTCCATGGCAGACAGCAGCGTTGTGATTTTCATTAGGCTACTATTGATGAAAAGAAGCTTCTAGCAACCTAATGTTTTTCCCAGTAATAGAAGATCTGCTGGTGGGGTGAGGGGCAAGTTTCAGAGAAACGGAGCTCAATAAACACAATTACTATAATACTAGAGGCCCTTTGTAACTATTTATGTAAATAATGTCTTTTCACATTCAAATTTGCAAAAAGTACTTATTAAAGCAGGTCTTAAGGCAGTAGAAGGATAGGTCAATAGATATTTACTGTTGTAATTATAATGTGTTTCCATTTAGCAAAGGATAGTGTTAAACTGCTGTCTCCATTTCTTCTGATCTGTGTTATTATCTGGGGATTTTCAGGAAATTCTGTTTATTAGGGAGGAGCCTGAGCATGGCATTGACAAGCTGCTCTCAAGTCCCTCTTATTTAATTGCCCTCCTGGAAAATTTCACAACACAATTGTTACACGGATTCTCTGCAATTTGATAGGCATTTGCAAACCAGGCTGCTAAAAAGTTTTATTTTACATCATTGCTCAATACACATTTGTTAATGGATTAATCAAAACACCTAGAGTCTTTGTTTCCATTCTCTTCTAGGAAAGTTTCACTCAAAGAATTCTGAGTATTTACTCAAAGACAGAGTTACCTTTGCATATATTGCATATTTGCAGAAAATAATTTTTTAAATCTGAGTATTAAACAAACCCATACAGGGTCTACTTTTTAGAAGATAATCTGTACTGAAGAAGAAAAAAAGGAAAGCTTGATGACCTGTAGCTCAAAGTCTCTTTGATTGTAGGCTATGTGGGCTTGTTCTCTCTCTTCCTACAGTCTCTCAGTAGTCTTCTTTTTTTTTTTTTTTTTTTGCTGAAAAAGATTGGCCCTGAGCTAACATCTGTGCCAATCTTCCTCTATTTTGTATGTGGGTCGCCACCACAGCATGACTGCTGACAAATGGTGTAGGTCTGCGCCTGGGAACTGAACCTGGGTTGCTGAAGTGGAGTGCACCACACTTAACCACTAGGCCACAGGGCTGGCCCCTGCCTCTCTGTATTCTTGATGCTATAAGAGCTGTGAATGGATGTTACCATCAATCTGCCTCATATGAAACTGGGAGCAATGACTGGGCTTCACCAGAGCTCACAACTTTGGCCCAAGGAGAGTACAAAGGGATTATTAGAACACCACCTCACACTGAAGATGGTGCCCCTGGTGGGCCTACGTGTTTGGCGGCAGCTTGTGTGCAAATCTCCTCAGTATGTCTGCTCTTAGGTCCAAGTGCAAGGTGAATATCAGGGATGCTGGGCAGCTCAGGAGAGGGAACCAACATGGGTGCCATATGGAATGGGGCTTGGCATCAAGTGAGATAAGAGATCAGGAAACTCTCTGACAGGTCTGTGCCTGTAGGAACCTCATCTGATGATAAAGAATCAGGGAGACAGGGCCAGGATTGGAGAGTGGGAACGCTGGCTGGTCTGAAGCACTAGCCTCTTCGCATTGGAGAGCCCGCTCCTTCCTTGACTGTGCTTGGTCTTCACCTCACCTGGCTGACACAGAGCAACGGAGGTCAACACACAGCTCAGAGACTGCGTCCTCAGGCTGGACTACTCTCCTAACTCTCAAAGTGGCCAGTATGCACGGGCACAATCAGGGCTCAAAATTCCTTAATGTTGTGGACTTTCCTTCTTTTTCAAACCTTCCGCAGGCTGACTGCACCCCCTTACAGTGCTGTACCTGCCTAAGTGGGCCAAGTACAATTGACGATTCCTAATTCCAGTTTCAAAAGATAAACATCTAGCTCGTTTATTCTCAGAATGTAAGTTCCTTGAGGGCACAACAAAAACTATTCTCTTAACAGAGCCTTGTGGAATTATAAGTCCAGAGTGTGTACATGCCAATTTATGTTTTTCAAAAGCTGTAGGATTAAACTGCACATTTTGTGCTAGGCTAAAAGGAGCTTAAACACGCAATCATAACAAAGAAGAGGACATTTGTTCCTTCCTATTTAAAGCATACATATTTTGATTCTTCATATTTAAATATTCCTCTGCTGGGTATTTGCAAAAAGGTTCTTCATCTTTCTTGCATCAAAAAGGGGAATGAAGACAAAAAAACAATATACATTTTCGGATGCTACTAAGCTCAGAGAGGAGACACACATTTGAAACTCCATAAAATTCTACCTATCTCATGGCTTTTGCTAATGATTATTCACAAAGTCATCTCAGCACCAGACTGATGATACAAAAGTGGAGGCCTCAGAAGCCGTGATAGACATTTTTCCAGGAAGTAAAGATGTTTGCCCATCTTGAAGGTTTCGCATCCTGACTTTTTGTTTGAGATGAGTTCCAGAGGGATGTTTGAGGTAAGAAATCTGCTGCACCCCCAGATTTGGGTGATCTACTGTTGATGGACTGTGAAAATGACGTGAAGACTCAGGCAAAATATTTGCACCCCGGAACAACCCGAGAAGTGAGGGCAGAGGAGCTAACCGCTCATCTTCTCCAGGCTGCACCTTCCCTTCGCTCTGCTGTTTGTCTGATACCTGGTTGTTGTTCTAACCACTGGGCGCGGGGGCCTGACTCCCCGCTCTCAGATGCAGCCCTGGCAGTTTCACTGTTTGTTTCACACGCAAGTGTTTCCACAAGAAAGCCCACTTGGCAATTGGTTTAACAGACTCAAAGCCGAATCTGCTGGTGGCGTGCAGAAGATTCTGCAGGGTAATGAGAAGGCTCTTGGAGTTGAATCAAGGACTTTGGGGTTCATTCAGATGTTTCTCTCCTACTCCCGTTCTCATTTTCTCTTTACATCTGCCTTTTGAAAAGTTCTAAGGATGAATCCACACCACTGTCGCACACCGCAAAAACGCAGTTCAGCAAAAACCAGAGTAAAGACCAGGCCTTTTTACCGTTGCAGGGGCACTTATGTTTCAGCAGGGTGAAGACGCGTGGCTCAGTTGATTAGGCTCCCTCTGCCTTAGCTCTCTCTCCATCTTCATGCACATGAGGCTGTTTGCCAAAATCACACGTGTGTCTCAATCGCATGGTCATAAATGCATGCGGACCTCTATCCTCCATCTTCCAGTCTCCGAGGACATCATGGCTCCCCAGACAGGTGCACTCTCATGCCCAGGTATGAGACTGCCCAGGGGCAATCAATTCTACTCAAAATTTTTGGTAAAACTATCTTAAAAGTGAACATGGAGAGATTTAAAGTTGAATGCAAAATATGAATATACTTTGAAGGGAAAGGAGGAGTTTTCAAAGAACTCTCTTGGCCACTCTGAGTTGCTTCTCCAGGCTTGGGTCTGCTTCCTCCGGTGAAAGCTGGGGGACCTCCCTGTAGCTCACACGGCACTTCCAGCGTGCGCATGTTACACTCAATTGTGATGCGATAACTCCATTTACATACCCACGATTATCCTCAAGTAATTATAGAATTCTTTCCCCTAAAATTGCTAACAGGATTTGTGTTCAGTTACAGAACAATTAAGTCAACAATGATGCCAGGGACTGAAATTCATGACTTCACTGAACCTTTATCCACTCACCTCACCCAGATAACTCTGATTTCCCTATAAATGAAAAGCGCAGGGGTCCATGACTGATAATGTGAATCTAAAGACTGAGTACAGAGTAGCATTGCATTATAAATAATAAAATATCCAAGCCGTGGAATCAGCAGCCAAGAGCAGGGATTTATGGGTTCCATTTTAGACCAGAGTTTAGTGGTTCCTGTAAAGTTCAGTATCTTTTGCATCCAAGATAAAGTCTATTAAGGAATCTGAAATGCCTCTCAGCGACCTTAAAAAACCTCAAATCAAACCAAGCCAAGGCCAAGTTCCACTTCCACCTCCAAACCTCTGAATTGTTCTAACAAGCAAACAATCAACAGAGATGTTTATAGAGCACTTTTGAGTATACTGCCCTCATTGAATCCTCATAATGATTCTTAGGTGGGTAGGTAGCTTACTTGAAATTCTCCAACAGAAAGGCCTGTAAACTCAATGTGCAAAGCCATCTTTAGGGGCTAAAAGAACGAAACATAAAGCTCCAACAGTCAACTGCATCCCCAGGCAATTTCTCCAGGCCCATCAAAGGGGCAAGAAGACAATGAAAACAGATGAGAGCTGATCATGTGCCAAGGACAGAGCCATTCTTCTAGACAACAGTTGGCAAATTCGCATCATTCACTCTCCACCAGTTCACAAACGTGAAAGCCGAGCTTAGAACATTCAGTGACTTCCCAAGATTCACCTGGGATGAATTAATCTCTGGTCCATCTGGCTTAAATAAAAGGAGAGTTGCAGAACTCCCCAACAAAGTCCGGGAACGCCCCCCATAGAGTCCGTGGACCACCTCCAGAGAGTCCGTTAACCCCCCGGGGCCACTTCTCCAGCCCCATCCTGGCTGTTGGCTGTCTTTTGCTCATATTCTGTTCATGTGTGGTTCATATTCTGCTCGCTCCTCTCTGCTTTCTGATGTTGCTGTCACCAGGCCAGCTTCCAGAGTCCTCACTGCTCCAGCTTTCTTTATTGCCTTGAAGGCAAGGCACGACCTTCCAATTTCTGGGTTCTTCTGCTAATTAGAGTGGGGAAAAAAAGGGGTTGGAAAAATGAGGCGTCCTCCTAGCTTTCAGTGTGTGAATTGGACAAAAACGTGTTAATTACTTAGGGATGCTTTTCTTTACTCTGACTGCTTTTGGTGATGCAGGATTGCAGACACCAGCAATGGGGAAAATCTGCTTGGGGCAGAGGACCGCTGTATTTAGGAGGCTGGGCGTTTGGTTTACTAAAGAGAAGAAGGTGACGGGAGTGTGTAAGCAGTGCTGGGAGAATGAGAATGCTAGCTGGAAGGAATCAAACACTGGATTTTCCCTGATGAATTTTT